GGCAAGTGGTGGGATCTAGAAAAGATCATTCTGAGTGAAGTATCCCAAAAGGAGAAAGACAAGCTTGGTATATACTCGCTTATATAGACCTACAAGACATGATAAACATAATGAAATCTACACACCTAAAGAAGATAATCAAGAAAGTGGACACAGGCGAAGGTGATTAATCCTCATTGAGAAAGACAAATGGGATGTGCATTGAACTTATGACAGGAGTCTACCACAAAAGGCATCTGAAAGACTCTACCTAGCAGTGTTTCAAAGCAGACACTAAGACTCATAACCAAACCCTCAGCAGAGTGCAGGGAATCATATGAAAGCAGGGAAGTTAGTATGATATGGAAAGGATAGGAGCTCTACAAGGACCAAATATATCTGGGCACAGGGTCTTTTCTGAGACTGACACTCAACCAAGGACCATCTATGGATATAACCTAGAACTTCTGCTCGGATGTGGCCTGTGGTAGCTCAGTAACCAAGTAGTTTTCCAAAGTAAGGGGAACACGGACTATTTCTAACAGGATCTCAAGGGCAGGCTGTTTGACACCCCCCCCCCCCGGGGAGGAGCAGTCTGTTAGGCCACAGAGGAGGACTTTGCAGCCAGCCCTGAAGATACCTGATAAAACAGGGTCAGATGAAAGGGGAGGAGGTCCTCCCCTATCAGGGGACTTGGAAAGGGGCAGGGAGGAGACCAGGGAGGGAGTGTGGGGTTGGGGAGGGAATGAGGGAGCGGGATACAGCTGGGACACAGAGTTAACAAAATGTAACTAAAAAGAAAAAAAAAAAGATAGTTTGACTTTACAAAGATTCAAAAGCTCACGTGTTCATTAGTAAATACAACTGAAATATTTTCCTGGACCGTATAGTCTAAGAATGACTAACAGTGGCAAGCAACCATGAAAACTGTAGATAATACTTCAGTGTATGCTCTGTCTTACTAATCTACGGTGTTTAATAAGCTAGAGGAAGTAAGATAATTTTTAATCACTATGCTGGTAAGTTACAGGGCATTTAGCAGAAGCTGTGCTGCCATAGGCCAAAGGTCAGATATTGATTTTTTTATTTCTATTATAGTTCTGAACATTATTGCCTCATAGATTTGTTTTTCTCTTCTCTTCAGACTCATAAAGAACTGTGCATGTTTAAGTTTTTCAAATGCTTTTCGTAATTCTCAATAATGTTCTGTTTCTAAAATACACATTTTGTGAAATTTGAAATAATTAACCTGGTATTTTTTCTAATAAAAATATAGCTTGTTTTCTCCATCCTTTTCTTTTCATAACAGACACATTTGTATTTGCACTCATAGAGACAAACATATACACATACACTGCAAATCACTATACTTTCACATAAGTATGCCATATAATTTGTGTGAAGTTCCCATTCCTCATCTTTTCCCACTATCACTGATCCATTTCCCCCTCCCTATTAACTCCCTTCTGTTATCATCTGCCTTTGTCGGGGAGGGGGGGAGAAGATCTGTGTGATTCAATAGGTTTAGTTAGAACTCCTTATAGGGGCATGAGCAGTATATTTTAGGAGTATAAAAACACTTCTCATGGTTATACTACTGAAAAAAAAAGTCTCTCCCTTCCCCAACATAATGGGGTCCTCTCTAAAATTTAACTCTGCTAATGTCTTTCCTTTAACATATATATATTTCATTTAATAAATGAGAAGAGCACAAATAGATAAGAGTCTGTTTTGCATTTTATTATTATGCTTTTAAGAACTCAGTCCACAGTACACACAGAGGAGACTCAAATGAGAGAGTGGAAAGGGCAGAGGAGGAGAAAATCACAAATGGTCTAGTTTGAAGTTTGGGGGGAATGTTTACTTGTGCTTTTGATCTTACACTTGGATTCTTGACCATACTGAGGGATATATACACTCAGGGTGTTCACAGGCTTGAATGTGCAGACATAGGATAACTCCAAGTCACAGTGATTTTTCTCTCCACATCAGATATTCTGCAGACATACAAAAATGAAAGGCAGGATCCATTCAAAAATACAGTAAAGGTGCATCAAGGACGCTAGTAAAGATGTTAAAGCATGCATGTCAAGTTTAACAGTGTTTCGCTACAGGAGAAGGAGGAAAAAAGGGATAATGAAAGAAGATGAGAGCTCAAGAATAATGTAAGAGTGAGAAACCACTGGTTTTCAGAGAGGGCTGCCTTCTGTCTTACTAATTACCAAAGTTTTGTGGCAGACTTCCACAGTAACCACAAGAGGCAGAGGAAGGAGTCACCTCCCTGTTGAATAAATTCATCACATCAGCATTATTCCACTCCCATCCACCTCTGTTGGGTTCTTGGCCCTAGAGAGAGGACAGCCATAGGAAAAGAATAGCCCCTGAAGATCTGATTGCTGATCCCTTACTGGGAATAGCTGAAGCCCATATCCATGCTCATGGTGTTTATCTACTCTTTCAGATACTAGCCAGATTGCAACCTGACCATCTCCCTGCGATTAACACATCCCTGTTGATAACCTCAAGATGTTTAAACCCAGAATAAGAATATGGCCCTTGATGAACAAAACAGGTTATGCTTTTGTAAATTTTTCTGAACCTCAAGGCCCACATGGATTCTGTGATGAAGAAATACAGATATGCTTTTCTTTTGGTGTTCTCTCAGAATCGTGGGGGCAAACTCCCCTAATATCACAGAAGAGATTTCCAAACCCTCATTGAGAATCTTTCTAAGAGTTGTAATTGTAATATTGACATCAGGTAGAGACTATGGAATTTCACAGAGCTCATGAATTTTATTTTGTCCCAGTTGCAAACCAGAATGTGAGCTGTATTTATAATTTGGCCTTTTCCCATAGAAACACAGAGAATGAGACTGGAAACAAAATCAATGAGAAAGAAATCTGATGAGAGGAGATGTCTTCTCACCAGCGTCGGGTCAAGGAGCTCAATCCAAACATCTGACTCAATATTTAAACTGCTTTCAATCAAGGAGGCTATGAAGGAAGTGTTAGCACTACTGAGCACAGAGATGAGGTGTCCTGAGGGTCTCTTCTGGCAGGCCAGCTAAGTGAGAGGCAGAATGAGTCACAGACTGAGACTTCACTGGAGAATGGCTGCCAAATGAAGATGAGATGGGAACTGAATGAAAAACAGAGCATTCATTCTGATTCTCATGAAACCATAGCAACTGAACCCCATTTCTTCTGTGACAGACATGTACTGCCCATTGTTTCCTCCTCTGTACCTACAATACTCACATTTACATCCAACCTGGATTTAATCATCCTAAACAAGGCATAGCGACAGGGACCAGAGGATTGGGAGCCGTTGGGGACAGCTCATGCATGAAGAGGGCACATCTTCCTTGGCATCTTCCACCTGGAATGGAAGGAGATGACAGCAGTGTAGTGAAATGTGTAGGCGATCAACCTAGCAATGGTGCATGATGCCTCTCCTTTGAGATTAAGTCCGGAATACAGACTTCACAGAATACAGAAAACCATTTTTCCCTAAGAATATCGTCTTCATCTTGGTCTTGTAATTGACCTACTTAGTGAGAAACTTTTTGTTTTTAATTTTATGCTCCATTCCTCTCATATTCTCCGAGACCCTCAATTCCTGGACGGCCTCATTGTGCACCAGCTCATCAAGCCCCTCTCTTTCTCAACAGCTCATTCATGACGTCTGCAATTTCTTGCCTCAAACCAACAAAACAGAAAACTGTTTAATTTCAGTATGGGTTGTTATGACCCTGTTCATCATTGGTGAGTTGGAATACAGCAGGGTGATAGGTGAGTTGTGAGCAGATTTTCTGTGTAGAACTCATTATCATGAGCACCTTGGACACCTCAGAGCTCTTCTCTTTTCCTTGGCTCTGGACATTCAACTCTAAAGACAGAGAATCTTTACCTTGCACTTGAGACAGAAGCAGCAGGAAACAGCAGCATCCAGGACAGGCTGGTGAGGGCCATGCGAGGCAGCATCTTGTCTGTGAGGGAGGAACAACCAGTCATGGTGGAGAATATGTTAAGAGGGAACATGCTGGGAGGACCATCCCATTCTTTTTCCTTTGACTAATTCATTAGGGATGCACTAATTTTCACTCCATTTCTCTCCTTCTTTGGTTCTGGAATGAAAATAATCCATCCCCTTTTTCCTCTCTGAAAACTTTCCAGGAAGCCTGTGATGCTTCTCAGAGCCCTCTATTTTGTGGGGAGAGCCACTCTTCTCCTTGGGTATGAGGGGTGAACCCTTGCAAGGCTCTTGGCATTTTTTTTCTCCCACCTACCTGCTTGCAGAGATCTGGGATAATTAGTCAGGACAGAGATGACTGTTTTTATGATAGCAGTTGAGGGAGGAGCATCCATGTGTATAAGCAGAATTGTTATGCGATCAGGGAAGTGCTTGGCATGGAATCTAGAATGTTCCATCAAAGGCAGAAGTTCCTTCCTAACATAAACTTTGAATTTTTACATATGTGGCACTGTTCTGTTAGCAGCCCTGCTCTATCATCAGGTGTGAGTTTGAACTTTCACCACCTTCTCTCAGATACCTTGTTCTGGGAATCTTAAGAATATGATAGCTGTGCTTTAGATTATGCTTTGACCCCATTTCAACATATTATGACCCTGGGTTGTTGAAAAAAAAAACTATTTTCCTATTCTATGATGCTTGATAGGCTAGAAGAAGTAAGATCATTTTGAACTACTGTGTTAACAAGTTACAGTGCATTTAGCAAAAGCAGCCCTACCATAGGTCAAAGACCTGCAGTAGATTTTTTTTTTTCATTTCTATTGTAGTTCTGAATGTTATTGCCTCATTGATTTTCTGTTCTGTTGTCAGGAACAGGCTCATAAAGAACTGAGCGTGTTTAAGTCTTTAAATGTTTCTCTTGACTCTTGATAATGTTCTATTTCCTGAAATTGGACTTTGTGAAATTTGACATCATTATTCCAGTATCTTCTCTAATAATACTAAGGCTTTTCTTCCTTCATCATTTTCTTTTTCAACAAATGATGTTTCTAAAGTCATCTGGACATGCACACATTCTTAATTATGACACTTTCACATAGGTCTGCCACGTAATTTGTATGAAGTCACCATTCCTTATTTCCTCCCATTATAGGTGATCTATTTCCTTATTCCTATTTTAACACTTTTCTATTTACATATTTATCCCTTTGCGTGTGTGTGTGTGTGTGTGTGTGTGTGTGTGTGTGTGTGTGATCCAAGAGTTTTAGGTGTAACTAATTACAGGGGCATAAAGGATACATTCCAGGAGCATGAAAACACTTCTCATGGTTATACTACTGAAGAATATGTCTCTCCCTTCCCCAGCATAATGGAGTCTTCTTTAAAATTTAACTCTGCTAATGTCTTTATCTGACATATATTATTTATTTACTAAATGAGTAGAACACAAGCAGATATGAGTCTAATATATATTTTATTATTATGCTATGAAAACTCAGTCCACAGTACACACAGAAGAGACTCAAGTGAGACAGAAGGGCAAGGAGGAGGGAATCACAAGCAATGAAGTTTGGAGTTTTGGGAAAATGTTTACTTGTATTGTTTAATCTTCAGACTTGGATTTATAATCATAGTGCAATTCTTATGAAGCTCAGGGTGTTCACTTTGTACTCTAAGGCTTGAACTTGCAGACATAGGGTAACTCCAAGTCACAATAATTTTCTCTCCACTTCTGATAGCCTGCAGACACACAAAAGTAAGAGGCAGGTCATTTTGAAAATACAATGACAGCACATCAAGGATGCTTGTAATCTTAAGCAACATCTCACCCCCGGGAAGGAAAAACAGGGAAGGAAAAACAAAGGAAAGTGACAAGAAAGATGATTAGAGATCAATAATAATGGAAGAGTAGGGAAGCATTGGTTTTCAGAGAGGACTGCCTTCTGTCTTACCTGAGGTTCGTGACAGGCTTCCACAATAACCACCAGAGGCAGAGGAAGGAGTCACCTCCCAGTTGAAGTAATTCATCACATCAGCATTACTCCATTCCCATCCACCTCTGTTGGGTTCTTGGCCCTAGAGAGAGGACAGCCATAGGAAAAGAATAGCCCCTGAAGATCTGATTGCTGATCCTTTACTGGGATTAGCTGAAGCCCATATCCAGGCTCATGGTGTTTATCTACTCTTTCAGATACTAGCCAGATTGCAACCTGACCATCTCCCTGCGATTAACACATCCCTATTGATAACCTCAAGATGTTTAAACCCAGAATAAGAATATGGCCCATGATGAACAAAACAGGTTATGTTTTTGTAAATTTCTCTGAACCTCAAGGCCCACATGGGTTCTGTGATGAAGAAATACAGATATGCTTTTCTTTTGGTGTTCTCTCAGAATTGGGGGGGCAAACTCCCCTAATATCACAGAAGAGATTTCCAAACCCTCATTGAGAAGCTTTCTAAGAGTTGTCAATTATCATATTGACATTAGGTAGGGACTATGGAATTTCACAGAGTTCCTGGATTTTATTTTGTCCCAGTTGCAAACCAGAATGTGAGCTGTACTTATAATTTGGCCTTTTCCCATAGAAACACAGAGAATGAGACTGGAAACAAAATCAATGAGAAAGAAATCTGATGAGAGGAGATGTCTGCTCACCAGCGTGTGGTCATGGAGCCCAATCCATACATATTGGCCACCGTTTGCACTGCTTTTAACCACAGATGCCACGAAGGAAGCTTCAGCACCATTGAGCACAGAGACAAGGTGTCCTGAAGGTCTCTTCTGGCAGGCCAGCTAAATGAGAGGCAGAAGGAGTCACAGACTGAGACTTCACTCGTGAATGGCAGCCACATGTAGATGATAGAGGCAATGAATGAAAAACACAGTTTTTATTCTGATTCTCAAGGAACCATGCAAACTGTAACCCACTTCTTCTGTGACTGGCATGTACCTCCCATTGTTTCCTCCTCTGTACCCTCCAGTACTCACATCTGCATCAAACCAGGATTTAGGTATCCTAAACAAGGCATAGCAGTAGGAGCCATAACCTCGGGAGCCCATGGGGCAGCTGATGCGTGACGAGGGCACATCTTCCTTGACATCTTCACCTGGAATGGAAGAAGACCATAGAAGTGTGGTGAAATCAACAGAAAAGTAAACATAGCATACATTTATGAGATCTGTCTTTTGAGATTAAGTCCAGTATACATACTACACAGAATATAGACTATACAGAATACAGGAAAACTAATACAGAGTGCCCATTCTCTCTAAGTGTCATCTTGGTCTCAGAATTGACCTACTTTATGAGAATCTATCTTCTTTTAATTTTATGCTACAATTTTCTCATATTATCCTACATCCCCAATTCTAGGGCTGACACCGTGCACATTGAATCATCGCACCCTTCTCTTTCTCAAGAGCTCATTCATGACTACCATCCTTTCCTTCTTGAAACCACTAGCCAAATTTTCCAATAAAACAGAAACCTGTTTAATTTCTATAATGGATGATATGACACTGTCCATCATTAGTGGGTTGGAGTATGGCAGGGTGATGGATGAGTTGCAAGCAGTTTTTCTGTGTGGGACTCTTTTCATAACTAGCACACAAGACACCCTAGATCCCCTCTCTGTTCCTTGGCTCTGGACACTTACTGTACACTCAACACTAAAGGCAGGGAATCTTACCTTGCACTTGAGACAGGAGCAGCAGGAAGCAGAGCAGCATCCATGACAGGCTGGTGAGGGCCATACGAGGGAGCATCTTGTCTGTGAGGGAAGAACAGCCGGTCCTGGTAGGGAACATGTTAAGAGGAGACATGCTGAGAGGACCACCCCATTCCTTCTACTTTCAGTAACTCTTTAGGGATGCACGAATTTTCACTCCGTTTCCCTCTTTTGGTTCTGGAATGAAAAGAGTCCATCTCTTTTTTTCCCCTCAGAAAACTTCCCAGGAAGCCTATGCTGCTTCTCAGAGCCCTCTCTTTTGTGGGGACAGGTACTCTTCTCTTGGGTATGAGGGGTGAACCCCTGCAAGGCTCTTTGCATCTTTTTGATCCCACTTACCTGTCTTGCAGGGATCTGGGATAATTAGTCAGGACAGAGTTGGCTGCTTTTATAATAGCATTTGAGGGAGGAGCATCAATGTGTATAAGCAGAAATCCTTATGCAATCAGGGAAGTGGGTAGTACTTGGCATGGATTCTAGAATATTCCCGTCAGAGGCACAAGTTCATTCCTGGCAAAAACTGTGAACTTTTACATTTGTGGCCCTGTCCTGTTAGCAGCCGTGCTCTGTTATCAGGTGTGGGTGCAGTCTGAACTATTTTCTTTCAGATACCTTGTTCTGGGAATATTAAGAAAATTATATCTGTGCTATAGATTATGCTGTGACACCGTTTTCAAAATATTGTAACTCTGAGATACAAAAGAAAAACAATATTAGCACGGTGTACGTTTGTTCCACTCTGAAGAAATTCTACCTGCATATTTACGTGTTTATTTCTTGTCCTTTGTTTTGTAATATTTAGATAATATGACTGATTAAATTGTTGATTAGTTAAAAATTGTAAGTGCTGACAGTGTTAGTTTACTAATTGAAAAAAAGAAAGAAAAAAAAATAGTTCAAGCTAAGGAGAAAAGGCCTGATGTTTGTAGCAAGTTTTGTAGGAAGCTTGATAATAAGATCTTGAGTAAATATTTTAGCCAAGGTTTCACAGAAAAGTGGCTGAATAGACTTGCTTTCAGTCTGTTTCTTTGTGGGAATGTTGAGAAATAAGGCCTGTGTTCACTGTAATTCTGAGCTGTATACTTGAGATTGAGGGTACTGGCCTCAAACTTTAATCAGACATTTTGGGAGGTTTTAAAATCCTCTCAGGATGGCTTTGAAGTTTAGTTTTTCATAATTATCATGAAATGTATTATGTGCTTTTTATGGTATCAATACCTGTATTCATGATGTCAAAAAATGGTGGATAAATGATATGTGCTTTAGTATTAATTCATTCAGGGTCATAAACATGTCTATCACACATGCATGTTCAAGCAGAAAGAAAATGACATTTCATATTTGAATGGCCTTGAAGTGCATCAAACAATGAAGATAATATTAGCAATCCTCATCCTTTAAATTCATACTTTTAAACATTCTGTTTTGAATGCATTTGGAAATCTCCCTGAAGGACCAATTGTTAACATGAGGGAAAGCAAGTTGTGTCCTATATCTTTCCTTGTAAATGACTTGACATACATATGGTTTTCAAAGTACTTGGGCAGTCTAAGGAATGTTGAAAATGTCCAAATAGAATTGGTAAATATGTTTAATGCCCACTTTAATGTCTAGTGCTCCAAATACCAATGATGTGGACAATATTGACATTTTGATGATAATTGGGTGTG